CTTGGGCAACCACTCATATATTTTCTGTCCCCATAGTTTTGTCTATTCCAGAATGCCGCATAAGTAGAATCATAAATACATTCTTTTTTATAGCAGCCATGTTGCACAGTGTGAATGTGCCATTGTTTATTGGACTCACCCCCTGCAGATGGGCATTTAGGTTGTTTCTGGCCTCTTGCTGGTAAGCACAGTGGTCTAAAGAACAGCCCAGTAGATGTGTCATTTTGGATGTGTTCAAGTCTCACTGTTGTAAAAATTTTCAGACTTGGGATTGCTAGGTCAAAGGGAAAATGCATTTGTAATTTTGATAAGTTGTCCTCCAAACGGACTGCAGAGTTCTGGGAAATGTGTTATTTTTCTATTTTTCCTGTATCTACAGACCTTTAGTCCCGAGTCCTTCCAACAGTTTGACCTACTAGATATACTTCAGCTCTGCCAATTACCCTTTTGATATCATTGATCCAAATATTGTCTTTCTCTGTGTCTGGTCTTCTTTTATAAAATTCCTCAAGGATAGATAAAGATTTACTAAATGGGCTTTAAGACAGTTTCTTTAACACGATGTCATCTTTATCCTATTTGCTATCATAACACATGTCTTTTCTGCGTAGCCCAGTTCTCAGAGTTTACATTCTCATAGAAACTGTATCTTAAGGAAAAGTTGAGAGGCCAGTGGTTTTCATACATTTTTTAAAAGCAACAACCTGTTTTTCAAATGAATTCCGACATCTGTCCTTTTCCCAAACCTCTAAGGCAATGGGTTCTGAAACTTTGAGCATTTATCAGAATCACCTGGAGACAGATGTGGGCCCCACCCCCACAGTTTCTGATTCTGTGGGCCTGGGGTGGAGCCCGTGACCTTGCATTTCTAACAAGATCTGGGATGGTGTTGCTGCTGCCCTGGGGACCACACTTCGAGAACCACTGCTCTAGGTCACCTAGGTGTGATTGAGAACACAAATTGAAAATAGTGGTTTAGAGGCTGCATACCATGAAGATCTGTTAGTAAAAATTTTTGTTAAGGGCATTCATGTATACGAGGTCTGACAATTAAGTTTGCGAACTCATCCTAGAAAGAGTGCTACATACCTCATTGCTGAATACCACTATGGTCACCTTCAAAGTACTCCTCTTGGAAAGCTATGCACCAATGCCAGTGCCCAGTCCATCCTTCAAAGCAATTTTGGAACTCTTTTTCTGGAATGGCCATCAGAGCTATTGTCATATTACCCTTGATGTCCTGAATGTCATCAAAAGTTTTCCTTTCAATATTTCCTTTATCTTCGGATAAAGAAAGAAGTCATTGGGGGCCAGATCAGGTGAGTAGGGAGGATGTTCCAATACAGTTATTTGTTTACTGGCTAAAAACTCCCTCACAGACAGTGCCCCTTGAGCTGGTGTGTTGTCGTGATGCAAGAGCCATGAATTGTTGGCGAAAAGTTCAGGTTGTCTAACTTTTTCACTCAGCCTTTTCAGCACTTCCAAATAGTAAACTTGGCTAACTGTTTGTCCAGTTGGTACAAATTCATAATGACTAATCCCTCTGATATCAAAAAGGGTTAGCAGCATCGTTGCAACAAGTTTGGAAACTTAATTGTCCGAATTCGTATATACATATATACATACATATACATGTATATATGTTACATATGTACATACATATACATGTATATATGTATAGAAATACAATTATTTTCTGATTGTTTCTATTTGTTTTTGTGATTTTTTTCTAAAGCCTATCTCAAGAATTAATACTACAAAGAAAACCTGATGGGACCTTTTCAGATTGTCCCCAGCAGATTAATTTCCCAGCTGTACTGTGGATTGAAGTCTCCTGCTGCCCAAGGAACCAAGATTTGCCTAACCATGGCTCGTCCAAGTTCAAGTAGGCCTGCCATGTCCTCAACTCCAGTGGAATTTGAAGTACCTGCAAGTTCCTGTGCCTTGAGGGGAATGTCTGTATTGAAGTGGGTGTGGGGCAAGATTTTGGAGAAAGCCACTCTGTCCTTTTCTCTTAGGCAAGCCCCTTCCAGGACAGGTCAGAGATGGTCTCTTATTAGCACAGTCCATTTAAGACATTTTGTTGCTTCTCCCAGAATATTTGCATTTAAACCTTTCACACATGATTTGTATTCTATACCCCTCACCTCTCTCCAGGAGAAGAAAGCTGGTGATTGTCTTACAGGCTAACATGGGGTTAAATTTTCTACTGGACAGAAATGATGTGTATCTCTACCCGAGGAACACCATAAGTTAACATATCTTGACCTTTAGTCTATAATGAGTATGGAATCTGATAGATTTATGTAATGAAGGATGCTTAGGTGGGCCTGTTAAACAGGGCTTCAATATGGCATTGAAAGGCCAAGCTGCCTCTTTTTGCCTCCTTTTCAAATTTTGGATAACTTTTTATGATGCTGAGTCTGCTGAGACATAATGACGCCTCCTTCCACTTTGCCCAATCTCAGGAATGATATTGAACCCAGTTTCACTCAGCTGCCCAACCCCTTGGCATTCACAGCTGTTCAGGACAGGCTGCTGGAGGCTGTGGCGGGACCGAGAAGCATGTGCTTGACCAGAAGTGGGCCGCCTTCGCTTGGAACCCCAAAACATGCTGTTGTGTTTTCCTTTAGCCGTTAGGAAATGTCTTTTTTATATTTTTATTTTTATTTTTTATGAGAGATTTTGTACCACTTTAACATTATATTTTACATCCTGTTTTCCAAGAACCAAACCTGAGTTGACTTTTCTATTCGTTTCTAGAAGTTGCTTAAAGTGACTTGATACAAGTCACCCTGACTAGGAATCTGTTTGTCAGTAGGATGACAGAGTTTACATTTGGGATAGAAAAGACCTTTTAGAGCAGGGGAAAGTTTTATGGGTAAACTTTGAAGTCCTAAGGATGTTTGTGGGGTTTGATCCCAGGAGTCATATAAATAGTTCCTAGAAAAGTATCTGTACATTTTCTTAATTCGCATCTTGTTCTTTCAGGGGATAAGATCAGACTACACACTCTATAATCTACCCAGACTGGGTTTCTTTTTTTGAAAATCTTCCTAGTTGGACAGCTTTGGTGGGCCTTATTTTTCACAGCAGTCTATCTCTGAAAGGGGCGTGAGTTTAGGCAGAGCGTTCCTGTGGCTGGCAGGTGGTTGGGCTGGTTATACCCAAAGGGAACAGTGTGCCTGAACCATCTTCATTCCTTCCAGCCTTACGCTGCCAGAAACGTGACCCCAGAGAGCTCCAGGAATGGGGTGGGAGAGAGGGCTGGAGCCTCTTTGTTTCTGAGAGTCTACTTTGACTCTGTTCGTTCTTACCAGTAGTCAGAGAGAAAGGGAAGCGAGGAGACGTGGAGCCTTCTTGGAGATTCTCTATCCTGGGTGGACCTTAGAGGTGGCTCTGGGCTTAGGAGGGTGAGGAGGTGCCATCCCTACCTAGAGGGAGCCATTCAGTAAGTACCAGTTTGGGATACAAATTGAAGTCATGTTCCTTTTAATATTCAAGTCCATTGTTTCTGAGCCCCCACCCCTTGTCTTTCTTCCTTTCGTCCATCCTGCCTGTCACTGGTTCTGTCTCTCAGAGTGTGCTCACTCAGTCCTGGGGTTAGCATTGGTTGCCATCGCCTCCAGGAGGAAGGCCAGAAAGCCTGCTCCATCAGCTGAGGGACTCCCTTCCACTTGTGCTGAAATTTTCAGTGCTTTAACACAGGTTGGCCACTCCTCGAAGATGTCTGCTCCAGTGGCCTGGGCCAGCCACAGGCAGTGCTGGTCTGGGACTTGCTTCTCCAGGTGGAGGGCAGAGAAGGAGTCTCTCTTTTCCCTTATGCCCAGCTCTGTACAGCTTAGGCCTGGCCTGCTGGGGCCACAGCACTTACTTAGCCCAGATATAAGGGCTTGCAGAGCCGCAGTTCCTGGGAGAGAAAGGTGTTCTCAGCCATACGCTGTGCCCTGACCTAATCTCTGCTGCCCAGGAGAAACGGTGGCAGCTCCATGTTGGATTCCTTGTTCTTATTCTGGGATGAGGACATTTGTTTCAGGGGAAAACTCCACCTTGTGATCCACGTACGGCACTTAGCACAGAGCCGGGGTGCAGCGAGCCCTCACTAAATGATGGCTGCTGCCTCTGTTGGTCTGAGATCAGGTGGAGGATGCCTGGAGGTGCAGAACGAAGCCTTCGAATGGGAGGGCAAGCCATGGTTAGTAACCACGATTCCTTGCTGCATGTTATTCTCTGTGTTCAGTCCCCTTCTGTTACGCCAGATGTCTGGTGACATCTTGTTCAAAAGCCCAACTCTAATTTGAGCCATGAATGAGAAAGTCATGTGTCCAGGTTTGGGGTAGAGTATTTGTTCACAGTTGAGGCTGATAGTAATGCTGAGAGAAGCTAGAATTAGCCAGATCCCCAAAGGCAAGTGAACTGGGGGAGGAAGGAAGGCTTTGGGGTCCAATGGGCCTGTGAGGTCAGTCCATGTGCATGTGGGCACACAAATGCACAAAAGCTTGTTTTTACTTTTATGAAGGAAGATGCATTCCTATCCATTAACCTCTTTTAATCTATGTAACAGTCTGGATCTAGGAAAGGCACTATTGTGCACATCAAACAGCTGAGGGAACCCAGGAGAGCAGAGGGTCAGTGATTTGCAAAAGGTCACATGGATGGATGGAGACGGAGCTGAGATTCAGAGCCAGTGCTGTGTGCCTAAAGGCCTGGCTTCTTAAGATGCTGTATGCTCACACATGGATGGTGCCTTCATGAATCAGGACTGATGTTTATTTGGGTATCTTAATGCATAATTTCAAGCAACGTCAAGTTTCAAAATACAGGTATCCCCTGGGTCTTTTAAAGTTTGCTCGATACCACTTTGCTAGTACAAAAAAACCTACATTTGTACCTGCTTTCACTAAACAAAAGAAATTCAAAAGGATTTTTGCTTTTAAGAAAAAAGGTGAAAAACAAAAATATCATGCAGCGGTTGTTTTGCAGTGAGTTACAGAGACAGTGCACACCACGAGCGGGAGAGCAGCCCCTCCAAGCTCCTTCTCTGGGCACCACGCTCAGCATCTCAGCATCAAGTCCCAGAGCTTTGAACTGGGTCTGTGGGCGTCTGGGTTTTATCTCCACTTATTGTGTGCATCCATTAGCAAGATGTGTCCTAAGGTAGTTGCTTTTTCACCTTATGCAAGTTTTCATAGGAATGCTGTACTTTTAGATAGCAAGGGAAACCTGTATAGACAATTAATATGGGATATAAATATCCAAATGGTGATAAAGATTTTATTCTCTCTGTTTAGATATGGCCAGTTTTCGGGAGGTTTTTGCAAAGGCAAAGCACATAGTCGTCATTTCAGGGGCTGGCATTAGTGCTGAAAGTGGACTTCCAACTTTCAGAGGAGCTGGCGGTTATTGGAGGAAGTGGAAAGCTCAGGTGAGTGGTGTTTCCAGAACATTAAAAGGCTCTTCTTAATGAAAACATAACAGAGTTTCACTCAGAACCTATGCTCATGCCTGAAACCCAGAGAGCAAAATTTTGAAATTAATTGGTGACTCTTTTGTCCTGTTCATTTTGGCATCAACACAGTGTCCATACGAGGCATGACAATTAAGTTTGCAAACTTGCCACCATGTGTTTACATTGGCAGCACTGTACAAACAGCTTGGTCAGGTATCATAACCTTGGTATATCAGTGTCTCACAGCTGTGTTCATCTCATACTGTGGGGGTGTCTTGCTGAGTGGTGTTCATTATTGTTGTGTGTTTTTGTGTGCCATCTTGAGAATGTCTGAGCTTGAATTAGAGCAATGAACACACATTAAATTTCTTGTTAAACTTGGCAAGAGTGAAGTGAAATCAGGGACATGTTAGTCCAATTTTATGGGGATAATGCCATGAAGACGACAGCAGTATACAAATGCATTAAACGTTTTTCTGAGAGGAGAGAACATGTCACTGATAAGGAGAAATCAGGACAGCCAGTAACAGCAATACTGACAAAAACATTGCAAAAATTCATCGAATTGTGCATCAAAATCATTGGCTGAGAAGCACAGCAGACCAAGTAAACATTGATTGAGAAACAGTTAGGAAAATCTTAACTGGAAATCTTGGCATGAGAAAGTTGTGTGCAAAAATGGTCCCGAAGGAGCTCACTGATGAACAAAAGCAAAGAAGAGTCAAAGTTTGCCAAGACCTTTTGGAGAGACACGATGATGTTTTGGGCCGAGTCACTGGTGATGAAACATGGGTGTACCAATACAACCCTGAAACAAAGTGTTAAAGTGCACAGTGGAAGTCAGCTAATTCTCCATGATCAAAAAAGTTCCATCAGTCCAAATGAAGAGTCAAAACAATGTTGCTAAACTTTTTTGATATCAGAGGGATTAGTCATTATGAATTTGTACCAACTGGACAAACAGTCAACCACGTTTACTATTTGGAAGTGCTGAAAAGGCTGCATGAAAATGTTAGATGATCTGAGAACTTTTCGCCAACAATTCATGGCTCTTGCATCATGACAATGCACCAGCTCACACAGCACTGTCTGTGAGGCAGTTTTTAGCCAGTAAACAAATAACTGTATTGGAACACCCTCCCTACTCACCTGATTTGGCCCCCAATGACTTCTTTACCTGAAGATAAAGGAAATACTGAAAGGAAGACATTTTGATGACATTCAGGGCATCAAGGGTAATATAATGACAGCTCTGATGGCCATTCCAGAAAAAGAGTTCCAAAATTGGTTTGAAGGGTGGAGTAGGCACTGGCATCAGTGCATCGCTTCCCAAGGGGAGTACTTCAAAGGTGACCATAGTGATATTGAGCAATGAGGTATGTAGCACTTTATATAGGATGAGTTCACGAACTTAATTGGCAGACCTCGTATGTTTAAAATCTGAGAGTTAGGCAAAGCAACCAACTCTACTTACTTTCTAGGTATGTATAGATTACATTTATTCAGATAACAGATTTCTTCTTGTAATTAAAGTGGAATCAGAAAACCTTGGTTAGCTTAATTAATTACTTTATTATATTCAAATTAAGTATTACAATTTTTAAAGTTTCTGTGAACTTTTCATATTAAAACCAAAGTTGAATTATTGAAGGCTTAGGGCTTAATGTTCAAAACTTTATATAAAGGCCATTAAAATGTAAGATCTGTGGGGGCATGGATTTTTTTTAAATTCAGTTTTCATTGAAGTATAATATCTATACAATAAAATTCACCAATTTTAAGTGTGAATATGATGGCTTTTAACAAATGTATACATTTATACAAATGTATACAATGTGTAGCCACCACCATGATCACCGTGTTGAACACGTCTGTGTCCCAGAAAATTTCCTCAAGGCCCTTGGTAGTCAGCTACCCCCCTCCCCCAGCCCAGGAAATCCCTAGTTTTTGAGGGCAGGGAATTTTGTCTGTTTTATTCATTGCTCTGCCCCTCGCTCCCAGAACTCTGGTGCGTGGTGCATAGATTTTTGTTGGGTAAATGAAGGCAATCGTAAATAATTCAACTCAATACATGACTTCCAAATTTAGTACGTAATTTCTTGTTGAGTGAAGGGTTGATGAACCTATCCTTCCTTCCTCTATTAAATGTCTCAGGATGGCAAATGTTTAGGATGTTTTGTCACCTGGCCACTGCCCTCCAGGGGAGGCCTGATGATTAAACGAGGGGATCTTTACCTTAAAGGTGAAGGAGGGGAGCAGGAAGAGTGGAGGGCCCTTAGGGTCCCACCAGGAAGAGAAGCCCCAGAGAGCAGTCCCTAAATTAGAGACACAGGGAGTGAGGGGCTCAGTGGCTGTCAGGAGGAGCTTCCAGAAGGGTGGTCAGTCGTGTCCAAGTAGCTCAGAGCTTGTGGGGAAGCAAAGAAGTCGATGGAGTATGTTTGACTGCAGCTGCGTTCCAGGGACACATATACCCATGTTCACATGCCTCACCCGTAAGCTGCTTCAGGCTACTTGTGTTGTGAGTGGAGGGCAGGATGGAAGGAAGTACAGGAGCGTGGAGAATCCACAGTGTAGACAACCATGCCCCAGATACAGGCTGACATTACTACCGGGTAGAAGGGACCCTTTACAGTAAAATAAAATGCACAGTGCTGCCACCGTCACAATCAAGATACAGAAGTTTTGGTCACTGCCAGAGGTTCCCTTGTGCCTTTTTCCCGTCGGCTTCCAGCCCTAGACAGCTACTTCTCTGCTCTGTTCACCATAGATGGGATTTGTCTCTCCTAGAAGAGGAACTGTACTTTAAAAATATATTTTTTATATATTTTGTTAATATATTACATATACTTTTTAAGAAATTACATGTAGTGATGTGTATATAACTCTAATCACAGTTATAAAAACTAAGTTTCTCAACTATGGCCATTATACTGCAATTGGGCATTTTGCAATTTCACTTTTTTTCCTGGACAGGTGATACTGACTTCATATATTTTGGGGCACCATAAAAAAGCAGGTTCAGCCTAAATTACCTTCCCACATATTGCTCTACTTCATGTTCATAATAACTTACTTGAGTGGTAAATGGGACAGATTGCATTTAACCTGCCTTATAATTGGGGGAATTAAAACGGATTTCTCCAAGGTCCCTTATTAGTCCCAGAATTGGGACACAGACTGGTGCCTAGGCCCCTGCCCTGTGTCTGCCACACTGTATGAACCTACAGCGGACATGTTCCAGCTGGCACCCTCCCAAAGCTGCCTGCCTCCGATTTGGAGTAAAAGGGGCCTGCAAGGGTTTTTCATGGTTGGCGGTAGCCCCAAGGTTTTCCACCCCCGCTCCCCCTCCCTTGTCCCCCGTGTTCTGGAGCCTGTGCACTTCTTTCCCTGACTCCTACCTCCTCTTGAATCCCCAGGACCTGGCCACTCCTCAGGCCTTTGCCTACAACCCATCCCGGGTGTGGGAGTTCTACCACTACCGGCGGGAAATGATGCAGAGTGCGGCGCCCAACCCCGGGCACCTTGCCATTGCCGAGTGTGAGGCCCGGCTGCACAAGCAGGGCCGCAGGGTCATGGTCATCACCCAAAACATTGATGAGCTGCACCGCAAGGCTGGCACCAAGAACCTTCTGGAAATCCATGGTGAGCACCCTAAGCCTCACATGGGGAGGGGAACCAGATTATAAAACATGTCCTGCCATTTCCCACCTGGACCCATTGAATACAAATCTGCGTTTTTGATGAGATGCCAGTGTCTGGTGTGCACATTACCCTGGGGAAGTGCTGGTGTGCACAGCTCCCCTCCTTGGGGAGTTCTGTGGAATGGTGGTGTGCTCCGAGACAACTGCCCAGCTGGGCTGAAGGGAAAGAGGAGGTGTGGGCCACTGAACAGTTGTGGCTTTAACAGGATCTGGCCTGGGAGGACCTCTGCATTCCTGGGGGTATCTACTTACTTCACCTTTGTCCTGCAATTGGCCTGCTCCACTGAGGTTGTGCTTCTGCTAAACCCTTGAGCCTTTAGGGACCTGCCAGCTCAGTATCAAGCCCACCAAGTTTGTGACATGTACGTTTTGTGTTGGGTCCCTCTGGCTTCCCTTCTCTGCCCTGATGACACCCTCCTTTTCCCGCTTGTCTTCTCAATCCTTTCCTCTCCTTGCTCTCACCAAAAACCTAACAAATTTATTCATACCAGAGCATAAGTGGGTGTACAAGGATTGCTTCCCCGAAGCATTTGCATTGAACAGTCTAGAAAACTTCAGTCCCAAGGAATGCATTTCTAATAGTGGACTTTGCAGAAACAGTGACCCAGTGGGAATGTTGCTTGTGTGTGTGTGTGCAGTGAAGTTGCCCATTTTTGCCTAGGTTGTGGTCACCCTAATAATGAAAGCCGAGCACTATTCGCTTGAATCCATTTATCTTTTGTGTCCGAGCAGCAGTCAGCCACCTATGAACCGAGTGTCTTTTTGGCACCTTCTGCTGCGTCGGGGCCATTTCCACATGGCTCTTCTTGTTTCTCTGCAGTGTCAGAATGGAAGCTGTGCCCTTTGCCATGTGTAAAATGCGAACACACCTGTCTTATAGAGTTATTTTAAGGATTGAATAAGATAATGTGTGTATATGAGTTGGGATTTTTTGGATGCAAGTGATGAGAACTGTCATCTAGATTAGGTAAAAATAAAAGGAAGTCCTTCCTTTCATCAAATTGAAGATGCCGTCAGTTTTAAGATGCATCATGGTTTTTTTTTGTTTTCCTATGTTTTATTTATTTATTATTATTTTTTATTATTAGTTTCAGGTGTACAAAACAATACAATAGGTTACCTTTTCACCCCTCACAAAGTGACAACCCCCTACCCAGAGTCCCCCCACCCCTGATATCATACATATTTATTACAATTCCATTGACTCCATTCCCACACTATACTCCACATCCTGTGACTATATATGTATTAAATTATAGTTGACATATAATATTATTCAACGGCAGCTTCAGATGTACAGAGCAGTGGTCAGGCCTCTACACCATCCATGAAGTGGTCTCCCAAACAAGACATGAGTCCATCTGGCCCCCTAAAAAATATTTATAACATTATTGATTATATTCCCCAGACTGTCTTTTCTATCCTTGAGGCCATATTGTAGTTACCAATTTATGTTGTCTCGTCCCTTCCCCTTCTCCCTCATCCCCACCCCAGCCCCAACTAGCAATCATCAGTTTTTCCTCTGTCTCTGAGACTATTTTTGTTTACATTGCTCATTTATTCAGTTCTTTAGATTCCACGTATAAGTGAGATCATATGGTATTTGTCCTTCTCTGACTGACAAGATGCATCATGTTTTTAATGTGATACTTAGGAAGAAACTAATCTGCCTAAACCATGATATCTTATTTTGTTATCCCTTAGAATTATTTCATACTTATAGAAAGGGCTTGTTAAAACTTACTTAGATACACATTTTTAGAAGCTATATCACTCTCATATAAAAAACAAAATACGGGTGAAATAAAGTGGTTAAGATATTTCTTCTGAACGACTCAGAGGCATCGACAACTTTTCCACACAGTGTCATGCTGTGCGCCATCAAGGGGGTCCGTGAGGCAGCATTTCCTAGAAGGGTGCTTCTCTGTTATCTCTGGAGCTCTCTTCCAAGCTGCCGACACACATCCTGCGAATTTGATACTAGGCCTTTCGTCATTGTCCCAAAAGGTGCCTGTGGAAGGGTTCTAAACCAGGACTCATTTTCTTCCTCCAACAGCCCTTAAATGGTTTGTCAGCTGAAATATACAGGGGGCTGCCTTTGTCCAGTCAGGGCCCTGAGCATAACAACCAAGTCACCACACGCTTCAGTCATAGGTGTTATCCTTCGACAAGTCTGTGCGAGCGCTGGCTGTCACAGCCACATCACATTTATCATGGGACTGGTAGCAACTATAGGACACATCTGAATTTCAGAGATGTTGCCGTGGAGCAAAGTGGCTATATTAAAACTGACAAAATGGGTGTATTGGCTCGCAAAGCTGAGGAGCCCTGGGGTGGAGGTGATGTCAGTATCGGGCTCCTCTTCCCGCCTCTCCCTCTCCTTCCCTCAGTTTCACTTACTCTTGGAGTTAACCTCACTTCTCCCCCTGCAGTTGATCTGCCAACGAAGATAGCATCTGGTGGCTCCAGGCTCACTCTAGTGTAGCTGTCTCTCCAGAAAATAAACCTGGATGGCCTTGCTTGGGTCACATACCTCCTTTTTGACCAAATGCTACCACAAGAGGGATAGGGTATTGTGATTGGATCAGTCTGGAACTAGTGCCCGAGCTTGTACTTTGGATGTGATTGATGGCTCCGTCAGCTTGGCATGGGACCTAGGAGAGATGGTTCCTCAAAGAAGAACACTGGACAGAATGGAACAATGTGTGTCCACTACAGAGTGTGACATGCTCAGCACAACACTGGGTGCATGGCGAATGTTTAGTGAATTTTGGTCACCATTATTGGTTTAGCTCAGTACATGGTTGCTAGTTTTAACTATTCTCTTCATTTACTAGTTGATTATTTACTCATTGAGCTGGGTTTGGATAAAAGATTCAAGCTTTAAGTTGAAATTAAGATTCTGTAAACACATCCCAAGCTACTAAAGCTTTATCAATCATGTACTTAGTAAATCGTGCCCTTAGGTGTAGGTTGGCTTCATCTACCCCGTTGACCAGTTCAGTTCTACCTGAACATCATTCCAAGGTGATCTGAGAGCACCTTAGTTATGTAGTAAGTCATTTCACCTGTCTCTCTTCCCTCCAGATTATAAAGTCCAGGAGAGTAGGTGCTCTTGGCTTGTTCACTAATACTGCATGCCTTTACATTTACCATGATACCTAGGGTAGGCCCGTTTGCAAAAAAGAACATGTAAAAGCTAAATGGTTTTGTACCCTTTTGGACATGGAGACAATTGGTCTTGATTATACTATATCTGGTCTTGCTTAACTTGTGTTTTTCTAGGTAGCATATTTAAAACTCGATGTACCTCTTGTGGAGCTGTGTCCGAGAACCACAAGAGTCCAATTTGTCCAGCTTTATCAGGAAAAGGGTAATTATGCTGCACTACAGAATGAGTGTATGTTGTTTTCTGTTTTAAGTTAAACATAAATGCAAGGAAATTGAACATTAATTTAAGATTCCCATGGATATTTGTTAGAGATAAGACTAGATACAGTATACCATATGATGAAAGAAATATTTTGCTCACAACTTACAGTGTTAAGTGAAAACTACAGGATCTAAATGATCCCAGCTTTATATTTAAACACACACACTGTCTCCCTCTCTCATTCCCCTTGTTGATATATCTGTGTATAGACAATAGACCTGAAGAAAATACAACAAAATGTTAATAGTAATTATCAGGAGTGGTGGGAGGATGGGCGATTTTGATTTCTTCTTTATATCTTTTTGAATTTTCCGACATTTCTATGATGAACATGTACTATTATTATAATTAGGGGAAAAAATTAAGAGTAGACTCAGAATATTGAGAAAAATTCTACCTGACCATTTTACATTAGTATAAATTATACAAGTAATGTATTAATATAATGTCATTGCATAAGATTCAAATTATAACATATACAGTGCCAGTCATGAAACTCCCCCTTAGCATATCGGCTGCTCCCCACCCTTTCCCACATACAAATTCCGTCTCTTAAGAAAAAACCATGCGTAATTGTTTGGTGTCTATCCTTCGAGTACCATTCTTAGCATGTATTAATTAGGAGTTTTGTACCATTTCCTGCCGAGCAAATATAAAACTCATGTGGTTATGTTATTTCTTTGTTCTTTGATTATACCGATGACATTCTCTCTTTTCGAATATTGCTTATTTCAGTGCCCCAGAACCCGAAACGCAAGATGCCACAATCCCAGTTGAGAAACTTCCCAGGTGGGTAAAATACTTTGATCTGTATTTGATGTTCCAGATTGAAAAAAAAAAGAAAAAGAAAAAGAAAATTAATAATCAAAATCTAAGTTCATTTGGTGAGATGCCTCTTAATTGGGCAAATGTAAAAACTAGCCCTGACCTATGAGGCCAAGGGCGAAAAGACATAGGACGAACCAAACTGGGGTCGAGAACTGCTGCTTTCCCATCCCTTTTTGCTTTGTGTTACAGCAGGACAATTTGAGGTCTGCAAAGTTTCTGGAGCTGTTATGTTACAGATGCTTATCCAGTGTATAGAAAGCATAAAGGCTGGTGTCCTGTAACTGGGCAATAAACATTAGTTACTATCATCTTCATCCTCTCCATCATCATCAGTGTTATTAATCTAGGGTTATGGAGACAGGAAACGTTCTGGCAAAGATGAGATTATAGGACCAAACATAATTTTCGTAGATTAAAAAGTTTTTAAAAATCCTAGAAATATTTTGATGTCAGTTTTTTAAAACCAGACATTGAAACGGCACTTCCGAAAGTAGATCTATGTGATGTTCATAAGCATTGCTTGAAAACAAGATGTTAAGTGCTCAAATAACACTAAACAAAGTTGAAGTGTGTTTGCTTTACTGCAGGACTTCTCAGAACATTTCATATACTAAAGTACATCATTACTTTCTAAAAACTGGTTATGATACATTAATATTTCACTGGTTTATTTAACCACAGAACCCTTTTTATTTTTCTTAATAGGTTTTTCCTTACTAAATACTAAACTTTGGTTCTGAAAGAACAAGGAATCCTGGGGAGTTCCTGAGTAGGAGATTAATATGATGAAAATGATGTTTGGGGGAGATTATTTTAGAAGGTGCATCTGAGATGACTAAAAGATAGTAGGGAGTGAACAATGTAGGAATTTTAATAATCGACCCTGGAGAACTTGGCTGTATACAGGGCAAGAGAGAGGTGAATCTCAGAGAAAATGAAAGGGGTCACTGATGAAATTAGGGGCTGGTTGGGGTGTTGGAGGCAGATCTGAGTCCAGTGCTCCCCCAGGTCTGGGTAACTGAGCACAGTTATGCCCATGAGTGTGAAGAAGTAACTGGGAAAGAGAAGGCCAAGCTTCACTCAAACACATTTGTCACAAATCAACCCAGTGCATCTAGACCAAATAAAAACTTTACAAAGCAGTTAAAGTTAGTACTTTGTATTCAGGACACGCTCATATGGACTGGGAGGGCAGGGATGGGGACAGGAAGGATCAGAGGTGAACTATCTGGACAGACTGGATTTGGGGCAGCCTCTGACCTTCCTCTGATCCACCTAGGCAGACGGAGCAGGGCAGGGCTTGGGGTTGGCGTAAGGATAATGTTCTTACAGGTGTGAAGAGGCCGCGTGCGGGGGCCTGCTGCGACCTCACGTGGTGTGGTTTGGAGAAAACCTGGACCCTGCCATTCTGGAGGAGGTGGACAGAGAGCTGGCCCGCTGTGACTTATGTCTAGTGGTAGGTCACGCCCTCCCCTGATCTGGGATTTTCTAAAATACCAGGACTGGGATGGAGTTTGCAGTTGTTCACTGTTCGTCCTTCCCCCTCCCCTTCCCTCCGTCGCTCCCTTCCTTCTGCCCTTCCTTCCTTCTGTCTCTTAAGAGGTGTTTTGAAGGGTCTTGTGGTGTTTTACAGAAAACCTAAGAAACAAAACTTAAGAATGGATCTTAAGATATGAAAGAAACTATGCAAGACCATGGTTTGAGATTCTCAAAACCTTTCCTACTACCCACAAAATCATAAAAAGAACATGTTATTGGCTCTGCTTTTAAAAATAATACATGCTCATTTTTAAACATAGTTGAGAGAATACAAAAAAGAGTAAATTAGAAATCACTGATAATTCTACCATCCAGAAATAGTTCGTGTTAGCATTTTGGTATATTTTCTTCTAGACCAGGGAGAGCAGACTGTGGCCTATGAGCCAGATCTGGTCTGCCACCTGTTTTTGTAAATAAAGTTTTATCGGAACACAATACGTTCTCTGTATAGTCCATGGCTGGGCTGCTTTCACGCTACAATGGCAGAGTTGAATGTTTGTGACAGAGACCATATGGCCTGCAAAGCCTAAAAAAAGTACTATTTGGCTTTTTATGGAAAAAGTTTGCCCTCCCCTGGCCTAAACCTTTTCTTATGCAGATGTACACATATTGATTAAAATTAGTAAACATGTTCATACTATATGTTCTGCTTTGAAACCACTTTATTCGCATAGCCATTCACTTAGCTAATTCCATGTCAATACATCCAAATGCACATCGTCTTTTAATGGCTGCATGGATATAAAATGATGTATTTAACAATCCTCTATTGTTGGACATTTAGGCGGTTTCCAATTTTGATGTTTTAAACAATGCTGTGGTGAATAGCCTCAGACATAACTCGTAGCATGCTCTTCAGATTATTTCCTTAGGACAAATTTCCTAGATGTGGAATTAGTTGGACAGAGGGTAGACATATTTCACATTTTCCTTAACGCATCTTTAAAAGCAGAGACCCTCACTCATGTGTGCATGTTTCTTCAGCCAGTGTTTACTGAGTGCATCCCAGCTGAGTACAGCATCCGTGTTCATGATAGATGGCTGAGGAAAGCTGGCTTGTAAAGTATGTTGTAGTCTTCCCATTTTTGTGAAGAACATGTATTCATAGGGAAAACCCTGAGAGAATATACATGAAAATGTGAACTGGTTATCTTGGGGTAGTAGGATTGTGCAAGACATGTATGTTTATTCTTTGAATTATCTAACTTAAAAAAAAGAAAGGAACATGGATTACTTGCATCAGTTCAAAGAGCAGAAACAAAAATACAACTAACCCCCCAAAGGCGATGATTGAGTCTTTTCTTGGCCACTCTCACCATTTGCACAGTTCTCCTTTTCACAACGCGTATTTTCCTGAATTCCAGGCATCAGCCAAAAAGACGCCTCCTAACTTCCCATGTGTCCCTGAAACACTGTCCGTTTATCCCACCCAGCTTAGCTTTCCTCATTCCTACAACCACAAGTTTATGTGAGGTTTTCTGAAAAAATGTTTCTTCTCCCCATCGTGTGCTCATTTGTCCATTTCCATCTGTTTGCTTTGTAGGTGGGCACTTCCTCTGTGGTTTATCCTGCCGCCATGTTTGCCCCCCAGGTGTCAGCCAGGGGCGTGCCAGTGGCCGAATTTAACATGGAAACCACCCCAGCTACCAACACATTCAGGTACAAGGGTTTCCCAGGTGGGAGACAGCAGGTAGTGAGCAGGTTGGAACATGGTCATCTAAAGAGATTTTACCTACTGTTCTAATTTTTAAAAAAGACACGGAGCCTGGGAGAATTTCATTGCCTGCTGCTCTCATGGCGAGGCTACCTGGGCAAATTCCTCTTTGGTCTAATTGCCAAGAATATTTGTATTTGTGGCCGTATTGTTATTGGTCCTGTTGCTCACGTTTGTGTGGAAAGAGCAGGGCATCATGGGATGCAGTTTTCATCTCGTTTTAGGTTCCATTGTATGTCTTTACCTTTGTTTTGCTTTCATTTTCACCCCTGCTTTCTTGTTTTTACTTTTAATTTAGTTTATATGTTATTGTCAGTCTGCTTAATTCCTTTCTAGAATAAGGTAGAATAT